CACTGAATTTGTATACTTTAATAGGGTGGATTTTGTGTATGTGAATTTTAACTCAATAAGGTTATTTTTTTAAAAAGAAAAGAAAATATATGTCACAGATAGATCAATGGAACAGAACAGAAAGAGGTTGTAATATACCCACACAACCTCTGATTTATGACAAAGGTGATATTGCAGTGCAGTGGGGGAAAGAATGGCTTTTTTCAATAAATGTCCAGGGTTAATTAGAAACCCATATGTAAAAAAACACACAAAAACTAGCCTTGATTCCTATGTCACACAAACAAAATCAATTCCAAGCAAACTGAGGATCTAAATGTAAACTAAAAAAACTTATAGGAGAAATAAAACAGGAGACTATCTTCATGCCTATAACATAGGCAAAGATTCCTTAAATAGGATACTAAAGATTCCATAAATAAAATACTAAAAGCCCTAACAAAAAGGAAACATAACATTTATAGTGTGTTAAAATTAAGAACACTGTTCATCAAAAGATATCATTAAGATAGTGAAAAGTTAAGCCAAAAAGTGGGAGAAAATATTTACAATACATATAAAGAGGAAGGATTCAATATCCTCCAGTGAGGATTAACAAGAAAAAAAAATTAACACCATGTAACAATAAAGAAAATGAGAAGATGAGAAGACAAGCCATAGATGGGGAAAAGATATTTGCAAAAGACATCTGATAAAGGACTGTTATCCAAAATATACAAAGAACTCTTAAAACTCAACAAGAAGAAAACCACCCAATTAAAAATTAGGCAAAAGATTCGAACAGGCACCTCACCAAAGATACACATTTGGCAAATATATAAAAAGATGCTCAGCATCATATTATTAGGGAATTGCAAATTAAAACAATAAGATGCCACTATATACCTATTAGACAAACTCTAAGACACTGACACCAAATGCTAGCAAGAACATGGAGCAACAGGAGTTCTCATTCATTACTGGTGGAAATGCAAAATAGCAACACTACTTTGTAAGAAAGTCTGGCAGTATTTTACAGATCTAAAAACAGGCGTAACATATGATGCAGCAAGTGCACTTGTACGAAGTATTTATCCAAACAAGTTGAAAACTTATCTCCATATAAAAACCTGCACACAGATGTTTACACCAGCTTTATTCATAATTGCCAAATCTTGGAAGCAACCAAGATGTCCTTCAGTAGGTGAATGGATAAACTGTGGTACATCCAGACAATGAAATATTATTCAGCACTAAAAAGATATGAGCTATCAAGCCATGAAAAGACACAGAGGAAACCTAAGTGCATATTTTTAAATGAAAGAAGACAATCTGAAAAGGGTACATACTGTATGATTCCAACTATATGACATTCTGGAAAAGGCAAAACTATGAGGACAAAAAATATCAGTGGTTTTTGTGGGCGGGGAGAGACCTATAGGCAGAATGAAGAGGATTTTTAGGGTAATGAAAGTGCCCTGTGATATTATAATGATTGATATATGTTTTACATTTGTCCAAACCCACATATACAACACCAAGAGTGAATGATTATGATGTGGCAGTGGCAGTGCATCCTTGGTAAAGAATATACCATTCTGGGGAGTGATGTGTGGAGAGGCCTGTGTACAGGTAAGGGGTAAATGGGAAATCTCTATCTCCCTCTCAGTTTTGAAATAAACCTAAAACTGCTCTTAAAAAAATTAAGTCTTTCTATATTATAAAAGGAATTTATTCTTGCTTTGGATGGGATGTCAGACCTCCCAGGTCTCCAAGATTATATCTAATATATGAAGGATTTTTATCCAGCGACTCCTACAATGCAAAGTCAAGTTTGGAAACCAATGATTCGGTCCAACTTTCTCAATTTACAAGTGAGATCCAGAAAGTTAAATGACTTCCCAGAGTTATCTACTAAGACAGTGGTAAAGTCAAGGCTAGCTCTCCCAACTCTATCCCAATGATCTTTTTATTATACTCAGAAACTTCTGAAAGCCTAGACTGGTATGATAAGACATGTTCTTAGTGACCTATACTGGGTCACAGATAACCAGTGCTAGTTTTCTTTTTCTGTTAAGCTTTCTTTTCAAAGTGCTCATAAATCATATTTAGCATGCCAGGAATAAATATTAACCACAGTTACAAGAGTTGCAAAAAAGAAAGAGAAAACCAGACGTCATGTACTCCCTGATGAAAAAACACACCTTCCCCTGTATTCTTGCCAAAAGAATCAAACTTGAATCTGATCAAGCCTCTAGATCCAGCTGCCAATTGACAGGCAATAACTGTGTCATGCATGCGCAGTCAGAGAGAACTCTACAGTTCAAACAGCCCAGGGTCTTCAACTAATCAACTGTAAGGAAAGAAAGGCATGAAGAAGGAACCTGAGATTAAAAGAGATTTAAATGCCCTCTTCAATTTTTTTTAAATGAACAAGACTAAACAATTAAGAAACACAGTTTATTACTTTAAAAGTCAGTATAGCGTTACTTTTGATGCGAAGAGGCTATGTCTGGGATGGAACATATGGGGTAGCTGGCAAAGTTGTTCTTGACTTGGTGATTATAAGAAAATATGCCTTATAATTTATCTTTGTTTTGTGTGGTTGGTTTCCTATGTTTTATTTCACAATAAAAAGGTTAAAAATGAAAAACAAAATTCAGGTAAATAATCAGATTTCAGATATAATGTCCTTTAAGCAAAATACTTACCTGTAAGAAGTTTATCATTTTTTAAAATGTACTCTATAGTTAATGATTAGGCCTACATACAATCCCTAGCAATTCCAAAAATGTAATCTGAATGCCAGCTACTTTTAAAAACTACACTGAGGTAGCTTTACTTCCTTAAATATTCCCTTCTTTCTTTATTTACCCCATAGACATTAGCCTAATTGGCCCAGATACCATAAGATTACTTGAAACCAAACAGGAAATGTTCCCTACTAGACTTAAAAACATTAAATAAATTAAATAAATATTTAGTGAGAACCTATTATATAAGTAAACTATAATGTACTTTAGGGAGAACACAGAAGCACACACGGATTCCCTGATCTTAAAAAGCTTTTAACCTAGCAGGAGAGATATTTGTCATATCTATAAATTAAGACATCTGAGATATCAGCAGGTTCAGTCTCTCCTTAGAAAGACTAGATTGGTATCTCTACCCCTCCAACTCCACCATATTGTTTTCTTTTCTATAGGCCAAAAACTATTTCCTCTACTCTTCTTTCATTTGACATGTCCCATCCTTTTGATAATTTTCTCTGCTCTTTTTTAGGCCTCTTCTCTTCCTCTCCAAATTTTTAAAGGAAGAATACTAGAAAAGTAAAGTTGAAAACCAAAACATTTATTTCAGCTATAATGCTAAAACAGCAATAAAAGTAATCTAACAAAGGACCAGAATAGACAATGCAGTAAAATGGCTAATAAACCTAAGTTCAACCTATCTAGTAATGAAAGAAATGCTAATTATAAGAATAGTATCATTTTGCCTACCAAAATAGCAAAGAATAAAAAGTGATCATATTCAACGCTACTTTGGGTAAAAAAAGACATTATAAGTAGACACGAGATTTGATGAAAATTTTCCAGATTAATATGTATCAACACCCTTCAAATATTCATATCTTATGGTCTAAGAACTTACTTCCAGGAATTCATTCTAAAGAAATAATCTTGCCCTGGCCAGTGTGGCTCAGTTGGATTGCCGGTCAGGGCACACACCCAAGTTGTGGTTTGGGTCCCCAGTTGGGGTGCATACAAGAGACAATCAATCAATGTTTCTCCCTCACATCGATGTTTCTCTCTCTCTTTCCCCCCTTCTCTCTTTCTTCTCCTTTCTGTCTCTTTAAAATCAATAAAAACCTATTAAAAAAGAATCTTACAAAAATTTGGAGAAAAATTTATGTATATAGATGCCTGTTTTACCAAAGATGTGGTGACACATTACAAGCCGTCTGAAAAATAAAAACTACTTACATATCCAATAGTAGGGGGAAAGTATACTTAATATACTATATATACATAAACATTAATTAATGCAAAGAGACTAAGAAACACACCCAAATTTTAACAGTCAATTCTTTTCATACGATGGGATTATAGATAATATGGGGTTTTTTCCAAGCTAACATGTGTCTATATTACTTTAACAAGCAGGGAAGAAAAACTCTTTTATATTTAAAAAACTATTTCAAATGTTCTATGGCTTGACTTTGTCTATGGTATTACCATTCCTCAGTAGCACAGACATATTCCCTAAGGTATAAGAATCTTATATATCACTTGATAAGGAAAAGGAGAGAAAGTGAAGCCTTATAGAAGGTTTCCTAAATGTATCTGACCATGCAGAGACACATTCCAAACGTACTCGAGCCCTCTACAGGGTACCAAGAAATGAGAGATACAATGGTAGTAGTACAGAGAGATAAGCTACAAAGAATGAGAAACTTTAGAAAGGTATACTGGTGCCCGGCCGGGCGTGGCTCAGCGGCTGAGCATCGACCTAGGATCCAGGCGGTCGAGGTTCGATTCCCAGTCAGGGCACATGCCCGGGTTGCAGGCTCGATCCCCAGTTGGGGGTGTGCAGGAGGCAGCCGATCAACGACCCTCTCATCATTGATGTTTCTCTCTCTCTCTCTCCCTCTCCTTTCCTCTCTCTGAAATCAATAAAGATATATTTAAAAAAAAAAAAAAAAGGTATACTAGAGAATTCTCCCTAATCTCTACAACTTAATGTTACAAGAAAAACAAACTCTGCATGGATTACAGCCCCATTGGAGAAACTGTCGGAAGCATATAGTCACAAACACACAAAATTTTGCACACAATTTCATTTAGATTCTGCCCCTGTAGCCCTTCCAGTTTAAGAATCTTTCCTATAAATGTTCCGATGAATCAAGGATTTTATCTGACCCTCTGAAAAAAGAATTCCATCTCTAATAAAACAATTCAAATTTAGAAACAGCACATACCACTTTGATGACTAACTCTAGCACCTACAAACACATGATTTACCTTTCCTGAAACAGATTCCCCATCATAGAAAAGATAGTGTTTTTCTACTTTGCCATCTTCAGTTTTCATTTCCGCCATTTTCCTGGTCTCCCCATCATTAAGGACAACATCGATCTCACAAATGGGACCAAAAAAGCCGCCAAGAAAACTCTGAAATAAAAGAAAAATGCTCATGATGATCATGTTTGCCAGTCACTATGTTTTATAATTCAAATTTAATTACCTATGATCTACAGTTAAGAGACTGCAAATCTGTAAATTCACAGGAAATAAAAATTTAAATTTATAATACAACAATGTAAATATAGTTAATACTGTATACTAAATAATTTAAGAGGATAAATTCATGTTGTATGGTTTTTACAATAAAAAAGACAAAAATGATACAAATTTAAACATGCTATAATTTCAATCATTTCCATAGGTAACCACTATAAGTAATCAAATACATATACCAGAAATCTAAAAAACTAATTCTTAACATCTGGATTTCAAGTTACGTTTAGTTATGCTTCTATTAGGTTCTTTGATTGTAACAGAATTCATAAATCCAAATTACTCATACAAATCCAAATGAATTATCATGATGTACTACTCCCTGTAAAATCTACTGCTACATAGGTCTGAACAGGATGTATTACATTGTGTAAGCCCTTGAAATAAAACTGGCTCTAATGGAAGAGAGTAATTAAACTCCTGTGAATTTTTCCAAAGAAAACATATAAGCCTTGTTCTGTATGTCCTGAATATGACAGACTTCAAGAGACAAAGATCAATTGCTTATGGATGCCAAAGCATATTTATACAGAATCCATTAGTAATTCCAATATCAGATATAGTTGTGGATTATTTTAGTCACTTATGAAAGCTAGTTTTCTACTCTTTTTAAAAATTTACAGAGAACAGTCTCCTATCCTATTGTCCTACATTCCTTCTTACTTTGCCCTAACAACAACCAGAATGATCTCTTAAAAACATAAATCTGTTCGTCATTCTGTTAAATCCTTCAATGTGCTGGTAATAGTATAAACTGGAACACCTACTTAGAAAATAGGTAGCATTACCTGGTAAAGCTAAAGCTAAACATATCCAATGACCCAGCAATTACACCCCTAAGTATCTACCCAAACAGAAACTCTTAACATATGTGAACCAGGAGACAATATAAGAATGCTCACATCACTGTTCATAATGGCCCCAAATAGTTAACAATCCACATATACATCAACAAGAGAATGGACACATAAATTTTAGACTATATTCATACAGTGGGAAACGGAATGAGATACAACCACAAACAAGGAGGACTCTCCCACACATAATGTCAAGTGAAAGAGGCCAGATACAAAAGAATACGCACTGTATGATTCCATTTATTAAAAAGTCAAAGTTAACATACATTATAGTTTTAGAAGTCAGGAACTGGTTGGAGAAAGCATAAAGAAAACTTCTGGGTGCTGCTAGTAATGTTCTGCTTGTTCTGAGTGCTTGATACACAGGAATATTCACTTTGTGAAAATTCATCAAGCTGGACACGTATTTGTGCACTTTTATACAGCTAATGTTTACTTCAATGAAATGTTATTTTAAACACACACACACTGTATTTCCTAACATGGCCTATATATATTTGGCTCTATCCATCTCTCCAGCCACACCAACCTCAAATGATCCAAGTTCATCAAATTTGCCAATCTCTGTCTTGTCCTAAGTCAAGTATCCTTAACCTAACTAATGCATCCTTTGAGTCTCAGTTTGATTCATGTCCATAAAGAGGCTTTCCCTAACTTCCTAACCAAAACTGGATTCTCCAAATTTAGGTCTCACAACACCAAGTAATTTTACTTCATCATTTATTATCATTTGTGTGCTTATGTAGTACCTGACTCCCTGACTGTAAACTCCATAAGGGAAGGTACTTTATCCTTGCTCATCACGGTGGCTAGGGGAAGTGTGTGGCACTTAGTAGAAGGCATTCAAATACCTGTTGAATGTTAAAATAATTTTGAATGAGACACATACTGTCTTAATAATAAAACAAATGGACACACAAAAGAAATTAGCTAAAATCTGGAATATCTGGTAAAACTAGCCCTCCCCCGCAAAAGTCAGCATTGGTGCAGTAGCAAAGTCTAGAGCAAGGAATTTGCAGTAAGTCTCAGTTCTGTTCTCAGGTGGCAGGGTAACAGCCAGAAAGCTAATGATCTTCCTAAGGCTAGCTATGTAGGTCACAGGGTGAGAAACTATGATCAAAGGAGAGAGTGTTTTCCTAAATTCTGAGCTTGCTTTTTATTAATCCTGTATTAACAAAAGAATTATAATATCAAGAAATCAACTCAAGCCTGGCCGGGTGTTGCTCAGAGGTTGAGCATCGACCTAGGATCCAGGAGATCGTGGTTCGATTCCCGGTCAGGGCATATGCCCGGGTTGGGGGCTCCATCCCCAGTCGGGGGTGTGCAGGAGGCAGCCAATCAGTGATGACTCTCTCATCACTGATATTTCTAGCTCTCTCTCCCTCTCCCTTTCTCTCTCTGAAATCAATAAAGATATATTTTTTAAAAAAGATCAAGTAATCAAAAATAAAATATCAAAATTGCCACTAATTTAAAATGTGTAATACACTTACGAGTATTACAAAACTTTACAATTAACTAATAACATAATTAAACAATAAGTCTTATTTTGATACATTACATAAAAATAAAAATAAAAAATTCTTAGGCATTTAAAATATGTAAGAATTGTCACTGTCATCCTTTATTATTTTCTGTATGCATTAAATACTTCATAACTAAAAATTATAAGTAGACAATTTTCAACACAATGAAAACACAAAGATTGGGAGAGATAAGAGAGTTTAAAAACCTAGTATTGCATATGCAGAATAACAGTAAGAGAAATAAATTATAACACTTTAACAAGGTTTAGTTAATGACTCCGTGAGAATATAGCACTGGGTTAAATCCAGTTTCTTACACTAGGATGTACCAAAAATGAATGAGTCTTACTAAAGCCACCAGAAAATTGTGGATGTATTACATTTAACAAGTAGACAGAAAAAAAAATCTGAGAAAAAAAATTTGTCTCTTTTGTTGTCCTTCTATAAGGAGTTGAAAGAAAAGATTCTCTACCCAAAGTCTTGCTTTTGAAGTTTTTATTTCAAGATGTGCATCTTCTGTCATTTAAAACAAAAAATAATAAAATATTTCAGCCCTGGATAGGTGGCTCAATTGATTGGAGCATTGTCCCGTACACCAAAAGCATTCAGGTTTGATTCCTGGTCAGGGCACACACCTAGGTTTCGGGTTCAACCTGGGTCAAGGAAATGTTTCTCTCTCACCCTGATGCCTCCCACTCTCTACCTCTCTCCCTCCCACCCTCCCTTCTTGTCTAAAATCAATAAAAACATATCCTATGTGAGGATTTAAATCTAAAAAAATAAAGAGGAGACAAAATACAGAATTTTGTCAGGATGGTGAAGACTTGAAGACGGGAATAAAAATTGTAAAGAGGGTTAGGATACATTAACACACACTTTTGCTGAAATTACAGAAAGCAGTTTCGAAATCTTTAAAGTGAAAGAATACTCAGTTCTTCTGGAAAAGATATCTTCAAGTAAGCATTTAGAATATGATATTTTCAGGAGCAATACTAGGCAATTAATATACAAGTGAAAACTCTTTGGCAGCCCTTAAACAACTAGACTGTAATATATGACTATTAAAACATTATAGCAATTGTTTTTACAGTTTTCTAATTGTGACCGAAACCTCGTATCACTGACTTTAGGTTAACTTAATATTGTTCATATAATTTGTAAACCCAATATTGAGTATTACTATCCAGCAAAATTACATGTAGCTACATTAAAAGACAAACTTTTTAGCTCTCACTGAAGAGGCTTCACTAGGTCCAGTAGACGTAAAAAAATGCAACTCAAGGTGAGTGGAAGGAAGGCTCTAAAATTTATTCACTTAGCCCATACACAGCAATGAAACAGCAAATTTTCACACATATATTACATGTGTGCCCATTTCAAGATTATAAAGCCTTAGAATTTAGTTTGACTAACTTGAAAGTAAAAATAAACCACTCATGAACATAACCTCAAAAGCTTATTAAAAGTAACTATTTTAAATGTAAGCAAAAAAATAGTTTTCCTTGCAAATTCTACTCAATTAAAGACGACTTCCCTAATTCCTGACTAGGCAAGGTCCCCCACCACTTCCTTCTTAGTATTTATCACAACTGTAATTCCCATGTTAAACAAATTACACAAATGTGTATCTCCCTCTATTGTAACACTACAAGAGAGCAAGGGCTGTTTCAGTCTTGCTCAGGCCCATGGGAACACCCAAGTAACTATTTGTTGAGTGAAAGGAAAAAAGGTTCCAAATTAAAGAATGGACATGTCTGTCTTTACTTGCATTTATTCGAAGTAACTTTTAAAAATAAACCTAGCTTGGTCTTTAAGCCCAGAGTGTCACGCAGTTTACTGAGCCTCTGAGGTGTGGAAAAGCAGGTAGTGTAAGGAGAGCACACAGTAAGCGTTCAACATATGCTTGCTAAAGGAAACGAACACTACCATAAAACGAGCCAAATGACAGCAAATCCGGAGACTGCCAACACACACAGTTAAACGCCATCGTGCCCACGCTTGTGCTTCCCACTGTGTTTAGAGTACTCGGATTTTCCTCCCTCTACTCCCAAGGCCACTTCAACATACCGAGGCGTTAAGTTTCTAGAAATGGCTTGGGGAAGGAAACGAAAGCCAGCGCTTAAAGCAGCGGGCACGAAACTTGGTCCTTTGAGTTAAAAGCGTCCCCCATTCCAACGTCCTTTTCTTTTTCTCATTCTACAAGTGTCAACATCGGGCGGAACTGGGTTCAAGAAATCTCAGAATGCCATCATATCCAGGTTTTTTTAAAAACACAGAGTTGTCAAGCTAGTGACACTCTGGAAGAGATTGACCACGTCTTCTTCCCCCAAGTCCGGAACTGGGGGACTCGAGCGTCACCCCACGTGAAAGAAACCGAAGCTGCCTGGGAAGAGCGGACGGGCTACCTTGAAAGGGGAGGCGGCGGCGAGACCCCGCAGAGGCGGGGTCCGAGCACCCAGCGAGGGGCCCCACAGCTGATCGCGGAAAAAGGGCAGAGGCTCCGACATGGCCGGGAGAGCGCGCCGCCGCCCGCAAGGGCTAGGGCCTCGCCAAGACCTTGAGGAGACGGCGCCGCCCGCGCTTCCCAGACCCCGCGATGGCCCGACCGGCCTAACGCGGCTCCCCGCCCCACTAGCCGGGCCCCTCCTGCAGCTCCCCGCGGCCCGCGGTTGGCCGTCCCACCGCGCACGACGGAGCTAGGGCAGGAGGCAAGCGCGCCGGACGCCGCGCACTTACCATTGTCAGCGCCGCGCCGCCGCGTAGCCCCCGCTTCACTCCCCTTTTCTTTGGAGAACTCCCAGCCCCCGCGCCCAGTCACGTGACCTCAGCGGCGGGCCGCACGTGACCCCTTCCTTCCTTTCCTACGCTCCCCCCCGCACCCGCCTCCTCCAGGTCTGTCCCCGGCCCTACTGGCCGCCGGGCGGTGCGAGAAAGGCCGCTTGGAGGCGGGGCTTCGTACTCCACCCTACGGCGGAGGAGGCGGGGCCTGATATGTCGTAAAGTGGGAGGGGCCTGGGCGGTCTTGGGCTCCCTGCGTCCTCCTTGCGCTTCTTTCCGCCACGTGACTGACGGTTGCTGAGCGGCTCCGGTACCCCGACCGGTTCCTCTTTAAGTCTGAGCCGCTGGGAAAGGAGGGAGGTGGGCAGCGCCTGTGCGCGAGCCGCTGTCCGCTGGTGGTTTGGGCCCCGAGGGGAAGGGGAGCTGTTACTCCAAGCCCTGCGTCCTTAGGCCTCGCGAGAGACCTGCTCTCTTTAATCCAGAGATGAGGCATTTTTCCATCTTTCTCGGACTCTGCCCAGCTCTCTCTTCCTCTGAGAACTTCTGGGTTTTGAGAGCTTGTTAACTTTGTTGCGTCGGAAGAGACGACCAATTGAAAGAAGTGTTAGGGTACCCTACTTCCGAAAGCACGCGGGCCGTGAGCGATCCGCCCGACCTGCAGAGGGCGCTCCCGTCGGTTGTACCGCCCCGCCCTGCAGTGAGGGGAAAGTCTTCCTAAAAGGTCGGCTGCTGCTGCTGCTGAAGAGCCCCCTGGCCTTCACCTCCTGCTGATAACTGCAGGGTAAGCCGGGAGGGCCTCCAGTTGGTGGAATACTGGCTTAGGATTTCAAAACTTAGTGATTAATCACCACAGTGCTCTCCATAATAACCAAAGCAGGAAAAAAATTCAGCCTACGCCTGTCAACATAAGAAACATTCAAGCCTGAGGAATTCTTGTGATTTTGAGGCAAAACTGTTGGCAATTGCAAGGAAGCAAAATCTCAACAGGTTGAGATGCTCCAGAGAATGGCAGTTCTTATTTTATACATTATAATCAAAACAGACAAGTGGGTTACATGAAGTCCGCTGGTGATAGATTAGGGAGGCGGGAGGAAGGGGGGGGCCCTCTGGGATTGGATAAAAAATAAATTGATGGACACACACTTCTTAGGTGGGGGCAGGAGAGTTAACCAATAACAATGAGGGCATTTGTGGTCTGTATTGGGGTGCCTGTGCTTTGAGGGGACTGGGGAAAGGACAATTCGGTGTTCCTAAGATACTATCATAGATGCAAAAAGACAATAGGCTCAGTTAAGGTAAAGATTGGCCTTGGTCAGGGAGGATATCCGCCTAGGACGTGACTACCCACCATAAACTTAGTTTTAAAAGTTTTAATTTCAGACCATCCTTTGTGGTTACTTTAGGTCTCTGAGAAGACATCAGGGGAACTTTAAAAATAGTTTCAACTAAAAGATAATGAAAATACAGCATAACAGTTTATGGGATGCAGCTGCGGTAGTGTTAGAAGGAGATCTATAACTTTAAATTAGCATATTTGTAAAGAAGAAAGATTTAAAATCAGCAATCTAAGTTCACATGAGGAAGTTTTTAAAAATCATATTAGCATCTATGCTATAAGGAGCATGGGGCACATGGGAACTCTGTACTTTCTGCTCAATTTTGCTGAGAATTTAAAACTGCTCTAAAAAAGTCTATTAAAAAATTAAAAGCCCTCACAAGTATAATCAAACTATCTTTGATAAAGGTGCCATGGTGACTCAATAGTCTCTTCAACAAATAGTGTTGGGAAAACTGGATAGCCACATGCAAAAGAATGAATTTGGACCCTTCTTTTACACCATATACAAAAGTAACTCAAAATAAAGACCTGGACATAAGACCTAAAACTATAAACCACCTAGAAGAAAACCGGGAAAATCTTCACAACATTAGACTTGGCAATGATTTCTTGAATATGAGACCGAAACACCAGAAAAGATAGACAAAATAGTCCCAGTTTGTGGAACTACATAAAACTTTTGTGCATTGAAGGATAAACAGTGAAAAGGTAACCTATGGATTGGAAAAAACATTTGTAAATCATATATCTGATAAGGTATCCAGAATATATAAAGAACTCTTACAATTCAATGACAAAAATCAACCTGGTGAAATAAAGGACCTGAATAGACATTTCTTCAAAGATGACATACAAATAACCAACAAACATCTGAAAAGATTCTCAACATCACTAAACATCAGAGAAATGCAAATGAAAACCACAAGATGTCACCTCACATCTATTAGAATGGTTATTATAAAAAAAAACAAAACACACAAAGAAATAGCCCTGGCCTGTGCAGCGGCCCAAGCACTGAAGGGTCTCGGGTTCAATTCCCAGTCAAGGGCACATACCTGGGTTGCAGTTTCCGTCCCTGGCCTAGGCCGGGGCACGTGCAGGAGGCAAACAATTGATGTGTGTCTCTCACATCGATGTCTCTCTGTTTCTCTCCCTTCCACTCTCTCTGAAAAGCAATGGAAAAATATCCTCCGGTGAAGATTAAAAAATAAATTTTAGCATTCTTTTCAAAATAAAAATGCAATCAATACTTGAATTTCAAAGCTCCAAACTCCATAAATATTTTATTTTTTAAGGAGGTAGATTGTAATATTTTATATACCATTTATTATATCTCTATTTTTTTAAAATGATGAAACCTGCAGCACTCAATATAATGTAAAGCCTTGCTATATTGAAAGTATTCCTTGGCCCAGAAATGCTTTGTTTTATAGGCAAAATTTCTAGGAATACATTTAAGAAGTTAGGAGATTTCACATAGTTGAGAACATTAATTTTGTTTAATATTTCAAGTATAGGTAACATTTTACCAATCTAAAAGATTGATTACTTAACTCCTTGCCCTTTAAAGCCTGAGCTAAGGGTTTCTAAGATTTGTATGCTTTCTCTTAAATTAACGAGACTACATACAGTAAAGTTAATATGTGGGATAGAAAAACTGTTTCATATCACCTACTTTCATATCACTGCTATTGGGGTCCAATTCCTTTCCATTTATTACATGTGTATTAACACTGCTCCTCATAATTTTTCTTTACCAAATCTAGAAGAAGAAAAAAAGTAGGTGATCAAAGCAGATATACAGCACAGCCATGCAAAGAACTATTTTTAAAAGAGGAGGGCATTTCTATGAATATACAAGATAGCCTCCTAAAGTCTTAGTGCAATTTTAAGCTTTGGCACTTGTAGAAGTATAAATGCTACAGACCCACAAAACATCACCTGAAAGTTCATTTCTCTCGAACCTATTCAGTTCTGAAAATTCCATATATTAAGCTTTTAAAACAAAAAGTTTAATATCTAAAATTTAACTTTTTGTTTCAGCCAATTGGGGCTGAAACAAAAAAGTTTAATCTCTATAATTATGGTAAATGATTGACAAATACAACCCAAGAGATAGAAGAGTGAGAATTAGAAAGAACCTACCTGCATAGATTATTTCCCTATGTGCCTAAAAATATTTACTTTCATCTACCTGCCTTCCTTTCCACCAAGCAAAACTAACATATTACATTCACTCTCATTCAATCCCTGTTAGACGCTAAGCTCAAGGACAAAGGCTATCTGGTGTGTCTTTGTTTCCCTCTGTATCCTACACACCTAGCACAGTACCTGGCACGTAGACGGACTCTTTAAAATAATCTTATGACACAAATTTTCATGATTATAATTTTTTAGAGGCTTACTACGTACCAGGTACTGAGCTAATCATATCTCTTACATTGCTTTATTTAATCTTCACCATGACCCTATCGGCAAATATTGTTAAACTATAGTACAGATAATGATAATAGCCTGTGTTTATTAACATTATTCCAAGCACTTTACATACATTAATTTATTCAATCTTCTCAACAAACCTATAAGGTAGGCACTGTCATTAGCTTCATTTTAAAGAGGAGGAAACTGAGGCACAGAGATGTTAAGTAACTCATCTAAGGTTACCTAGTTGGTAAGTGACAGAGCTTTAAACCCACATAATCTGGCTCCAGAGTCCACACAATTAACCCCTTCACTACATTGCCCTCCCTAGACAAGCTTAGCAAAATTAGTAACTTGCCTTAAGTTGCAAAGCAAATGAAGAGTGAAATTGGTATTTAAGCTAGGACTTTGCAATCCTAAGGCTTACACTTCTATCAGTCTAATTACCTCTCCTAATGTAGAAATGTATTCTATATTTACTTCATGCAAGTTTAAGATCTTTCTTAATAAAAGTGTCATTTTTTTTATAAACATCAACCTAGACTACCTATCCCTTCTTCTAATGTGTAAAACCTAACACTTAACCAGAAAACACAAAGCAATATATATATTTTCTAAAACAATACTTATCCTCTCTGCTATATTATAATAGTATGGGAGCCAAAAAAATAGGTCTCATGACAGTAATGCCCTACTGGGTATAAAAACTCACAAAGTTTCTATTAAATAACCAGATTTATTAATGGAAAGATCAGGGTATAACTTAACAACTTACACCAAAAGTAAAATGCTACAAAGAAAATTCCTATGAGTTGGGTTCTATGAGAAGCAGATTCATAGAGGAGTTTATCTGCAAGTGTTTTTAGGATTAACACCTGTGTAGAATCAAAGGGAAGCAGGATTAGACAGGAATAAATTGAGCTGCAATGGAGTCACAGCAAAGCTTTGCCTGACCCTCTCAAGAGTTCTGAAGCTGGAATGTCC